TACTATTTCTTCCAAACCGTATTAAACCGAACTGAACCGAACTCGATAAAACCGAACAAAACCGAACCGAACTAAAGAAATTGAAAAAAACCTTCATATATTATTAAAAATTAACAAATCAAAACTGAATCAAACCGAACTAAACCGAACCGAACCAAACCCAAAAATAGTACTTCGTATAGTGTTTGTTTGGTAATAATTCTTCCAAACCGTTTCAAACCGAACCGAACCGAAACCGAGAAAAACCGAACCGAAAACCGATATGCCCAGCCCTTGTTTAAACATAATTTTCGGAAAGCGAAGTTATTAACTTATTATAGACTTTGTTTTACAATACATTGATTTACTTTTGTTCTGAATTGGTTTTTTATGTTTGAAATTAGCAATTGGAGTATTTGGGTTGCTTTAGATGAACGAAATAATGTTTATTTCCCCACCGTAACAAACACAAGTTAATTGAAGTTCATCTCCAAATATGATCAAATTTATTTTTATGTTTGGTCTCTGTGCATTTTAATTATAATTATAGAAGTCAATTTGGTCTGATCTGAGACGGAAAACAGTTCAAGTAAAAACTAACTAATTTGAACATTTAAAATTTCGTACAACTTTGAATTTTTATGGTTCAATACTTCAATTTGAATAGTCTTGTTTGTTCTATTTTAACCAAAATCTTATTGGTATGGTCTGACCTTTGGATCTTCTATCATCTTTACTTGGCTTTTTCTTTCTAGCTTGTCTAGATCATAAGATCTGTCCGATCGAATTTTGACGGTCCAGCTTAAAGCTATATGGCCGGCCGGGTCCAGGAAATCATGTTTTCATTAAGCACGTGATAAAGAATAATACGTAGTATACGTTTTATTTTCGAGTTACAAATGAATTTAATAATAATTTTAAGGAAAAATAAAAGTTATGCAAAAAGTCAGTATGATAAAATTTATTGTGCATGTAATCTGTGTACTAAATGTGTGTCTACCCACATCGACACAAAGAAACCATCAATTTAGAAAAAACATACTCCGTACATACAAAAATTTATCATAAAATAACTCTAATGGTAGAGTGTGATACATTTTCATTTTTTTATCATTTCCATTTATATCAGTGCCGCAAAGGTTCCACCTATGGTGGTGTAAGGGAGGTCGGATGTACGCAGTCTTACCCATGTACTAAAGCACAGAGAGACTGTTTCCAGATAACCCATAGTGAAAATCGCGTCCAAAATTGCATGGACTGACTGCTGCTTCATAACAAAGAAGCGCAGACAGTTTAGTGAGCCATTTTTCTTTATTCCATCATATTCTCGAAATAAAAAATAATGAATCTTTGGCTCCATTACAAATGATGGAAATAGTAATTGACTAGTATTTTAGTCTGGTAATTTTGATTAGAAAAATAATTATAAAGAGGCAAGTCTCAAATTAAAATGAAAAGTCATGGATGTAGATACTCTAGATACCACTAACATTGAGATATTGAGATATGAGGAGATGATGTGTTTTTTAAGAAAAATAGATTTATGTGGTTCATATTAAATCTAGACAAAGAAGGAAAAAGGAGTAGAAGATGAAGTATGCCAATTGTCACGGACATAGAGTCTGGCGCAGCACACAGCGCCCGTGTGGCGTCCTGGGGTCCCTCTCATCCCCGCGGACCAGCCTCGCTCTCATACGGAAACGGACTGGTTTCGCCCTGCCTTGGGCTCATCAGGGGAACGGCAATAGCTCCCGACCAGTTGTGCCTTCAGACACGCCTCCGTCTCCTTCATAGTCAAGCCCCATGCCCAACTCGGCCAGACCTGAGCGTCTAAGGCAGAACCCTCCTTGACGCTATTGCCTCCCACATGCCTCACCCGACATGCTAGCCAGTCGGTCCGTCCCATTCGTTGAGCCTAACACGGTCACGACCAACGGTCCGTGACATTCTCCCCCACCCAAAATCTAGCACGTCCTCGTGCTAGGGGAGACGACTCTGCCCAAGAATCACCATGCTTAATATTGTCAACGCGCCTCATCACCAGGCCGTTTCTCTCTCAAGCAGCCCGGCCGAGCTGGTGGCCACCCGAGTTCACATTCCCTCAGGAACCCATCCTCCCCTGCGGACCATCAGGAGTGGAGCCGTCATCAGCACGTACCGGCCCTAGAGCCACCATGCTCGCATAGTCCTCATCCCTCACGAGGACCCCACCCTAACACGTGTCAATATAAGCATGACCCGCTTTGATACCATTTGTCACGGACATAAAGTCTGGCGCAGCACACAGCGCCCGTGCGGCGTCCCGGGGTTCCTCTCATCCCCGCGGACCAGCCTCGCTCTCATACGGAACCGGACTAGTTTCGCCCTGCCTTGGGCTCATCAGGGGAACGGCAATAGCTCCCGACCAGTTGTGCCTTCAGACACGCCTCCGTCTCCTTCATAGTCAAGCCCCATGCCCAACTCGGCCAGACCTGAGCGTCTAAGGCAGAACCCTCCTTGACGCTATTGCCTCCCACATGCCTCACCCGACATGCTAGCCAGTCGGTCTGTCCCATTCATTGAGCCTAACACGATCACGACCAATGGTCCGTGACACAATGCAGACGATCGATTGAAGAAGTTTGTTGCCAGCAAAGGTAGAGCAATGCACCGGAGTGGCAGACGGTAGTTTAATTAGGAAGGGTATGTCTGTCCATTTACTAATAATTATTCCCTTTTTGCTCAAATTATAATTAAGTCTTATTTTTGTCTATGTAAAAGTGAAGAGTATTACTTTTGTCATTATTTGTAGTGATATTTGAATGTAAGTGATGTTTTTTAAACTATTTATATACGTAAATAAAAGAGAGAAATGACTAATCAAGCATTTCAATCTAGCTGGTTGTGAGGTTATCGTGTCTAGTGGGAGGTTTCGAGTTCGAAACCCGCTAGGCACATAAGAGTTTGAAACTTAATGACCTGAGTTTCAACCCTGATTACTCCAGCGCCCCTCCCCCAGACCCTCCTAGATTTAAAAAAAAGGGAGAAATGACTATATAGCTTAAACAAACAAGTTACTTTAGTTAATAACCTCTATTATGCTTATTAAAGAATATAGCAGTATAGCACTTTAGCAATTAATATAAAAAATACGGTATAGTTAAATACATAAAATATTTATTTGATATTTTATGCCCCCTCCCCCAGACTCTACACACTTTATTTTTATATATATATAATATAAACTTAAATGTGTACGCATTAAAAAATATATATACACCCAATTATCTCATAATGAGGTTTTGGTAAATAAACAAATTTAGGCTTGTGGGTCTGATAAAGTTTGTTTTAAGTGGACGCAGGGGCGGAGCTAGAGCACTAGGCCGGACTGGGCCGATACAAAGAATATTTTTCGAAAATTTTTTACGTGGAATTTTTTACACTAAAAATACATGCATTTTTAAAATTTGGGTTGGGCCAGGGCCAGGGATGGCCCTCCCCTAGCTCCGCCCATGAGTGGACGCCGTGCACGCGTGACACGACGTGGATATTACGGTATAATCTACCAATAATTATAACGATATTGAGTATTAAAAAAAGAATTCAAAACTTTTCATACAAGTATTATGTAAAGTATATATTCTGAATAGTTAACCATTAAAGTTAAAAAAAAATCTGTGATTAGGAATATAATAAAACACAAACAAATTGTAATAAAAAATTCCTTCATTCTTATTTGAAAAAACATTATTTACCTTCATCAAAGAACTAAATAAATATATTTAAGAAAAGCATTATTAATTATATTTTTATATTTTATCTATATTTTATTCCAAATAATTTTCGTTTAAAGTTTATAAATGTTGCTTAACTAAAAAGCAAAATATGGAGTGTTACCTCGTGAAACACAGCACGAGGGACGGTGGTACTGGTATGACGTACCCCTACTTTTCAATTTTTGTTTAGTATTACTCCGTAGTAATTAATAGTAACCCTTTGCATGCTTTAATTTTTATTATTCTTTTAGTTATTTTTGCTTTTTTTGGTACTTTGGGATCAAATTACCATGTATTTGTACTAGTAATATAATTACTCCGTAGTATACTGTTTTATTACATTAACGTCAAACAGGGTATTATTTGTGATTGATAATATATATAATTTTAAATTTATTATTTTATTCCCTCTAAGTAGATTAATTATTCAATTTGTAAGACTTTGTTTTAGGTGTCGAATATATTACAGGAAAATAGTCTGCAACTATGAATATGTGGATGAAACAAATTGAACTAGATCTAATATATTAACTTCGATAGAGGATACATTTCAGCTTATATGTTCATTTGTAAATTAAAGAGTAACATATTTAATTATGTAAACAAAATTAAAAAAATTAATTATACGATAGTACTTCGTATTTTGTGATGCAAAGTCAAACAAAAAAAGTCACTCCGTAGCGTTTTTTTCCTTTCTCAGACATTATTCAAACATGTTGTAAAAGAATGATTTTGGAAAATTAAACATCTCATTATAATCTTCCATCCCTCTCATAATATTTGGTCAATTTGACATTCCTTGATTAATGATAAAAATCTTTGAACAAATTTATTAATTATATTTGTTTGAAATTTGTAACTTTTATATACTGAGTTTTTTAGATCAATAAACGTGTTTTTATATTCATACGTAGTAATTCATAATAACTCACATTTGATAATTTGTAATTATTGATACTTTATACTCCCTCCGTCCCGTTGGAATGTTCCCGCTTTCCTTTTTGGATGTCCCAAAAAGAAGTTATCATTTCCCTAAATAGAAAATTATCATACATCAAAACAGAGTCAAACAGTGCAAAACAGTGTCAAACAGCGTCAAACAGTGTCCAAACAGTGTCAAAACAGTAAATTTACCAACTGGTAAGTTTATTTCCTTAATATGTGTGTAAGTCAAACCGGGGAACATTCCAACGGGACGGAGGGAGTAATTGAGTGTGCCTCTAGTCAACACAACCACTATAAAAGCCAGTCCACCTTATGCTACTTCAATCAACCAAGCCATCATTTCAACAATAGCTACAAGTATAAAGGAAGACAGCAAAAAACATGGCTTCCAGGGCAGCCTACAACATGAACGAGTTCTTGGAGGTCCTCTCCCTGAAAGAACAGCTCTTCTTTCACGAGCGGAAACGCCAGCAGCAACCGTCTGCCTCTCCGGCGGGCGGCGGCGCTCACGCCGCCTATAGTCTGAGCGAAGCCTTAGAGGCAGTTGATATCCAGCATCGCTTGGCCGCTATCCAGAAAATGGTGGATGAACGGCAATCTCCCTCTGTTTTTGAGTTCCTTGGTGAGCTTCTCCACACTGAACCTAATCAACCCTCTACCGGTTATGCCTCCTCTACTCCGGCGACTTTTTCCGGCGGATCAGAAGAAGCTTCCACAGCCGCCGCCGCCGCATATGGAGGACGGGAACCCTTCGAAGAGACGGAGGGAAATGGTTATGGTCGTCCTTATGGAAGTAAGTGACTTTCAACTCATCCCGGCCACTTATTTAGAGCCCGTTTGGAGAACTCTGTTTTCGGCTTATCAGGCTTATCAGCCAGCTTTTTCACCAAACACGAAACTTTTACTTTCGCGCGCTGAATTGTGTAATAAGCCGAAAAAGTAAGGTTGGAGTTACTTTTCTGGCTGTATTGGCTGAAGTTACTGTAGAGGACCATTTTAGCTATTTTTACATATAATTTTTTCTTTAATTTATTAATAAAATATATTTTTAAAATATTTTTTTCTTAAATCAGCAGAATCAGCCAAAACAGCCACTCCAGCCAGAATATCATAAATTTCAGCAGAATCAGCCAAAACAGCCGATTTTGGTGCTACCAAACGGGCTCTTAATTAATTGACGGATTAAAATTTTGAGTTTCTTTTTACACTTTCTATAAAAAAAAAGGATGACACCCCATCATTGAGGGCTCTTCAACACCGACCGGACGATACGATGAGAGAATGTAAATTGGACTATCACAATCAATCTGACAGATAGAGAGTGAGACTCTGTCCCCGATACTTGCAGAGGCCCTATGCATTTTTAACATAGTAACATCTCATTGCAATGACCGGGATCGTAACAAAAAAGTAATGCTCTTTCACCCTTACAAAATTTCCTGATTTGTGTAACACTTTCTGAGAAATAACACTTTCTTTTAAAAATTTGAAGTTCTTGAAGGTTCTTTTTAATTGGTGAATGAAAGATTTCGATGACTTTGTTTAATTAAAGACACACTAAAAGGAAATGTAAGAAGATGTGGGAGGAAATTAAAGAAGCACTAAATGAAGAAGTCTTTGTCCACCTTGTCATGAATGAGTCACAATTACGTAGTAAAATGTACTCCGTGTAAATTTTAACATAAGTCTCGAGTTCGAATCCCGATAACAGTGATGAAAATTTATTATGCAAAAATGTATAAAACATGTGCAAGTATCAGAATCAGAGCCACACGGGCTATCCGTCAGTTTGTGATTAAATTATAAATTACATTTTTTTCATTTATCTCTTCTACCAATGATGGGGTCTTCAAAGATGTAGTGTCTTCCTTTTTTCTACAATTAAAAGTTAACATGTTATGTTAAAGCATTTGTCCCACACCGGAATGCTATAAAACAATTAAACATTATATAAGGCTTTGGACTACTTTTCCACCTTTTATGATGTAATCTCAAGTCTTAACATGTTTCCTATTTGAATTGGACGGGAACGGTTGGTCCATCATTTTCTATTTTATTTACTAATTTTCTTCATTATTCACATCAATAAGCAACTTAAAAGGAGTGTGTGCGCATTAAGGATTAAAAAGTACTTTTTCCACAATAAACTTTCAAATTTCCTTTTCCACTATCCCAATTAAACTTTAATTTCACTTTCTCATTTTGCTAAATAGTTTGTGATTCACAACACTTCTTACACATTTTTTATGTTTTGTATAACTTTCCATCACATAATATTCATTATCTTAATTCTCGTATCATTTGTACTATGAAAGTTTTATTAGAGACGAATGGAGTCTCTCTGGCGATGATCTCTTGGACCACGCCTCCCGGTCTCATTGAACTTTCTTTCGGGACACTCGTTTTAAATTTTCAGGAGTGACCACTAGCCGGTCTAGGACAGGAACCGGCTCCAAACCGAACTCCGTTCCTAGTCACAGGATTAAATGATGAATCATTAAAAAAACGGAGTTCACGCCAGTATGTATTAGTGACAATGATGTAAGCTTGTTTGAATTAGGATGTACGTACGTTAATCATAATCTCGATTAGGGGTGCAAACGAGCCGAGCCGAGCCCGAGTTTATGTAGGCTCGAACTCGAGCTCGAATTATATTGTATTGGCTCGAGCTCGAGCTCGGCTCGAACGAGCTTAAAAAATCCGGGCTCGAGCTCGGCTCGCAAATATTGATTCGGCTCGATTTGGCTCGACTCGGCTCGGTTCGGCTAGATAATTTTGGTTCGTTCAAAAGTTACAAGTTCAATTAGCTCGAAAGTTCGTGTTCGAACTCGAGCTCAAGTATGAAACAATCTTTAAATATATGTGCTTAACATTTGCAAATTGCAATTTACATGCCCAATAACTAAACCTTACGGGAAAATAAACAAAATACAATTCTAACTTCAAGTCTCCACCCAATTGTACTTCAAATATAAATCAAAAGTGATCAACCCATTAAGAAATAGTGGATGAAACTTTGATTATTTTTGTTAAATTACTTTGTAATTAATATCTCCCCGGTCCTCATATACATTTATGAATCAGTATTATATATATATATATACATATATATATATATAACTAATTTATATTATATATTACATATACTAATATATACTCCGTATTATATATTAATTTGTATTGTATATTAATATATTACACAAATAACTAGGCTCGCGAGCCGGCTCGCGAGCTAGCGAGCCTAAAATCAGTAGGCTCGTTTCTGGCTCGACTGCTTAACGAGCCGGCTCGAGCTCGGCTCGAGCTCGAGTTTGACCGATCTCGATCCGAGCTTTGACCGAGCGGCTCACGAGCGGCTCACGAGCGGCTCGGCTCATTTGCACCCCTAATCTCGATCACCTAATAGTCTAAGGAACTGTTTGGAAGTGCTTAAAAAAGTATTTCTCGGCTTTTGGCTTAAAAACACTTATTTTACTAAATACTATCAACTTTTATTTTTCTCGGCTTTTGCGTGAAAAATACTTTTTACTTTTTCTATTACACAAATGACAAAAAGCACTTATTTTACCAAACACTACCAACTTTTACTCTTCAAAATCACTTTTTTCTCAAACACTATCAACTTTTACTACTAATCACTTTTTCCAAAATCACCCCAAAAGTGTTTTTTTAAGTAGAACCAGTTACAAACACTCCCTTTATTTACCATTTATTGTTATCTTTTTAATAAAATCGATCTCACGTGTTATATTGTATTATAACTAAATAAGTAAGTTTTGATTTACATATGATATGTTTTTCTTTGTTTTATTAATAGATACAGAGTTTGTTTCTATTTTTATAATTAATAAATGTTACTAAATTCCTCTAACTCTCATTTAAAAAAATGTGTGTCTATTAGCCTGATTTTCTTATCAGGTAATGGATTTGATGTTATATTTTTTTCTCTTTATTTAGGAAATGAGGGTAGAATATGGACCAGAGCAGCATGAAGTTTGGAAGCCGAAAGAGCTTGGAAGCAAGGCCCGATCAATATTCAAATGGATCAAATCCACTGTTTAGTCATACAGACTTATTTTATGTTTTTGTTTTTATTATTCTCAATCATCATCATCATCTCTTCATATCTTGTAACAAGTCAAGGGTTTCTATTTGAATTTCTATCTCGGTATCATTAGTGATTAGTGTTCAGGTCCTTCATGTCGGGTTTTCTGTTTTCATAATTGCTTTAATTTTTTGAAATTTCTTGAGGTTAAACAATTAATAATGATAATGCAATATTGACTTACTTATAATGAACCGATTGAATCACACAATTAAAATCAATTTAGATGATTGGTGATTTGTGTGTGTGGAACTAAGACCATTTTCACAATGTTCTTTTGTGAGGGAGGAAAAAACATAAATGGGAATACACACGAATTTAACGAGGGAAAAACTAGTGACCCAAGTGTGATTAGAAAACTTCGACCTCACTCGGAGAATTTAACAACCTTCCACTAATAACCTTTAAGCAACAAGGTACAAATAAATCCTTCCAGTTTACCCTTGAGCAACTCCAACTATAACATCTCTAGATAAACTTCTTGTTACCTTATCTTTTGAATAAGACGCCTCGCGACTTTATAACAAAGTCCTCATGTCACACACAAACCCTCGGGGAAAAATATTCTCTAATGTTCGTCTCTAATGCACACAATACAACAACAATAATCAAATAACAAGGAATATAACCGCTAAATGAACTTTCATTGGAACACGATTTGTTATGCCATCCATGTATATGACTCTCATTGTCTCAGTATTTTTCTGTTGGTAAAAGCACGCTTTTTCCATCACCAGGCTTGAGTATTTATATTGATGTTCACGAGTTCCCAATTTTTTGTAGTTATTTACGAGCTTTCCTTCTGGTCGAGATGCCCGTGGTGGTATCTTTCCTATTGAAGATGTATGCTTTCCTTTGAGTCCGGATTCTCATTAAATGAGCTACAGTGTGATTTTGTTGTTTGATTTTAGGCCAATTTGTTTCCTTCTAAATTAAATAGTAATATATTGATGTCTTGTCATCAATATAACAGAAAGACGTCAAGTTAACAATCTAGAGGTCAGTAAGCCATTTAAATATATAATTAATGTGTATTGTGTTCAACACTTATCCTAATAGGATGACATACATAATGTAAAAACTCAAAATGCTGACGAAAGAATTTTTTAATAAATGTTAGCTAACTCAAATTGTGTAGCAATATATTTATCTACAAGATCACCATGTTCCACCCTTTCACGAATAAAATGATAGTCAATCTTGATATGTCTGCTCCAATCATGCCAAATGAGATTAATCGCCAGATAAGATGCGAACAATCAAAATATAACTGAACATGAGTGAAGATAATAAAAAATTCCAATGGGTGATTCAGGTTGGATTTGTAAAACTTCATGTGGAATCTGACTGTAGGGAGGCTATCTTGATTTTGTTGGGAAAGGAGGCTCGATTTTGGAAAGAGGAGGTTCAGGCAATCCTTCTAAATTTAGGAAATAAGGCGATTTCGTTCGGACATGTAAAACGGGAGAGTAATTGGCCAGCCCATTACTTGGCAGAGGAAAAATCGGCCCAATTAGAAATATTCTCAAGTCCAATAGATCTTCCTATATCAGCTAGACGGGCTTACTTCATGGACTTCTATGGACTTCCTTCTTTTAGATTTCTTAACTGATGTAGTTTAATTGGGTAAGGTGTGGTCCCCCCAATTTCTTTTTTAATTTTTATCGTTTGGTCAATTGTGGCTTTTTTGTAACTCGAAAGGGTATGCCCTTTCTAAAGAGGTTTTGGTCTAGTCCCCCTCTTTTTTGTAATTATCTCTTATTCAATAATACTTCGGCAAACGTTCCCCGACGTTTGTCCCACTGATTTTGGTGGTAAAAAAAAAAGAAGAGAAGGAATAAACATCTTATCGTGTATAGTGTAAGCAACAACACAATAATCGACATCACTTGAGGATTCAGAAATAGTTGGTTGCTCTTTGGATCGCCAGCAAATCAAATTACCACCCAAGGAATTAGCATAACTTGTGGTGGAACGATAGATATATGGACATCCAGCTCAATCTGCATCCAAGCAAGCAAGAACCATGAAAATATTGTGGTCTGAATAAAGCCATGGACCTTGCTGAGATGTGTCAGGGGGTACCTGTATATTCTCTTAACAACCCATAAATGTGAGGTACGAGGAGCATGCATAAACCAAGATATCTGATGTACGACATAAGTAATGCTAGGTCAAGTTATAGTTAAGTACTGTAACTCACCCACCATACTTTGATATCATGTAGCATTTGCTGAGAGATCCCCATCAGTGAGAGATAATATGGTGTGTGATGGAAGACGAGTAAGGATTGGTTTAACAACTTGAAGATGGAACGGTATAGTAAATCATACACATATTTGTCCTAGAAAAGGAAAAGATCGTGAGGAGTAGGAATGGTTTATTGCAGAAAAAGAAGTGAAGGTCCCCCACATCTTTCATAACGAGTTGAAGTGCAAAGTCTAAATGAGAGACAGGGAATGAGACCCGCCCTACAATATGGAGTAAAAAAGCCAAAATAAGTGATTTTAGCCCTTATAAACAGAAAACTGATTCTTGAACCCCATCCACGATCATGTCGCGTCAAAGTACTACAAAAAAACCCAGCAAAATCCGATCCAATCTATCGTAAGAGAATATAAAGGACTTGATTCTCTTGGCGGTAGATAAACATAGAGGAATCATATTCACTCTGATGAAAACTCTTAGTGAAGAGAAACCCAGTGCAATGATGAAACCAAGTTTGGGAGCCTCTTTAAGACCACACAAAGGTTTGCGGAGGTAACAAATGCGATGTGGATAGGAAGAATGAATCCAATGCACCATTTAGTTAAACATACTTATTTTCTGTTTTTGTTTTTATTATTCTCAATCATCATATCTTCATATCCTGTAACAAGTTAAGGATTTCTATTTGAATCGCTATCTCGGTATCATCCTTCATGTCAGGTTTTCATAATTGTTTTTTTAAATTTCCTGAGGTTATTAACCAATTAAAAATGATAATGCAATATTGACTTACTTATAATGAACCGGTTGAATCGCACAATTAAGATGATTGGTGATTTGTGTGTGTGGGAATAAGACCATTTTCACACTGTTCTTCTCTGAGGAAGGGAAAAACAGACATGTGAATACACACGAATTTAACGAGAAAAAGTTCAGTGACCCAAGTGTGATTAAAAAAACTTCAAACTCACTCGGAGAATTAAAAAACCTTTCACTAAAAACCTTTTAACTACAAGGTACAAAATAAATTCTTCTAGTTTACTCTTGAGCCACTCCAACTTTAACCTCTCTAGATAAAGTTTTTGCTACCTTATCTTTTGAATAAGACGCCTCATGACTTTATAACAAAGTACACATGTCACACCCAAACCCTAGAAGAAAAATATTCTCTAATGTTCGTCTCTAATGCGCGCAACACAACAATAATAATTAAATAACAAGGAACATAGAACTGCTAAATGAACTTTCATTGGAACACGATTTGTTATGACATACTTGTATATGACTCTCATTGTCTCAATATTTTTCTCTTGGTAAAAGCATGCCCTGTTCATCACCGAGCTTGAGTATTTATACTGATGTTCAGGAGTTCCCAATTCTTTGTAGTTATTTACGAGCATTCCTTCCGGTCGAGATGTCCATGGTATCTTTCCTATTGAATATGAATGATTTCCTTTGAGTTGGGATTCTCATTAAATGACCTACAATGTGATTTTGTTGTTGATTTTAGGCCAACTTGTTTACTTCTAAATTAAATATTAATATATTGATGTCTTGTCATCAATATAACAGAAAAAGTTAACAATCTAGAGGTCGGTAAACCATTTAAATATATCATTAGTGTGTTCAACACTTACCCTAATAGGATGACACACATAATGTAAATACTCAAAATGCTGACTAAAGAATTTTTTAATAAATGTTAGCTAACTCAAAGTGAGTAGGAATATATTTATCTATGAGATCACCATGTTCCATCCTTTCACAAATAAAATGATAATCAATCTTGATATGTCTGCTCCGATCATGTCAAATGAGATTAATCATAGGATAAGATGGAGACAATCACAATATAAATTAGAAGAGAAAGAATAAACATCTTATTGTGGATAGCGTAAGCAGCAACACAATTCTCGACATCAGTTGAGGATTCAGAAATAGTTGGTTACTCTTTGGATCACCAACAAATCAAATTACCACCTACAACGATAGATATATGGACATCCAGCCCAACTGCATCCAAGCAGGCAAGAATCATGAAAATGTTACGGTCTGAATGAAGCCATGGACCATGTTGAGATGTGCCATGGAGGTACCTGTATATTCTCTTAACCAATAAATGTGAGGTATAAGGAGCATGCATAAACCAAGATATCCGATATGCGTATGACATAAGGAATGTCAGGTCAAGTTATAATTAAGTATTGTAACGCATCCACCATACTTTGATATCCCGTAGCATTTTCTAAGAGATCCCTAACACTGAGAGATAATATAGTGCGTGATGGAAGACAGGTAAGGATTGGTTTAACATCTTGAAGATGGAATAGTATAGTAAATCATACACATATTTATATTTGGAATGGAAAAGATCATGAGGAGTACGTGTGAATGGTTTATTGCCGATAGAGTAGTGAAGGTCCCCTAAACTTTCATAGCGAGTTGAAGTGCAATGTCCGAATGAAAGTCTGAATGAGAGACAGGGAATTACGAATAATAAGGATATATATCATCCACGTGTAAGAGAATATAAAGGATTTGATTCTCATGATGGTATATAAACATAGTGGAATCAGATTCACTCTGATGAAAACTCTTAGTGAAGAGAAACCCCCTGCAACGATGAAACCTAGTTTGGGGAGCCTCTTTAAGACCACACAAAGCTTTGTGAAGGTAACAAATGCCATGTGGATAGGAAGGATGAATAAACCTAGTTGATTATTAATAAAAGTTTCTTTTCAATGTATAATGTGTGTGTAGTTTGGTCATTTAAGAAGAAGGCTTCATTTGAAAAGTAAGAGCAAGTGTAATGCACTAGATTTAAAATCTAACGTCTCTAATCTAAAAGTGTCCAAACTCACTCCAAAGTACTAAAAAATTAATTAAAAATGAAGTAAATCATGTTAATATTTTTGTAGTTAGGTGATTACATTTTGCCACGGTAAATAAGTGTAATGTCAAGAGACCACAATGCATCGCTACGAATTAAAGGTAAAAACTTCATATTTTAAGGTGAGAACTTTGTCATGTGGATCCCATTGTCTATATTCTATATTGGGGTGTTTGGTTAGCAGTCTATCAGCCATTTTTTTTGTTGAATTGACAATATTTAGTTTTTTTATCAGATCAATCAGCTAATAAGAGTGTTTGATTAAATAATTTTTTCAATTAGCTTTTTGTCAGGGGCGGAACTACACTGGGGCTCGGAGGGGCTCGTGCCCCTGAAGTTTTTTTTTAAATATTATATATATATATATATATATATATATATATATATATATATACTACCTCCATTATTTAATAAATGCAATATATGAAAATTTACATTATTCACATATTCTACTTTGACTACATTTTATTTATTACTGTATTAATATTTTTTTTATGAAAATAATATTGTTAAATTTGTCTCATTGTAAATTTTCAAAATCTAATTTTTTTAATTTTTTTACTAATACAAAATTATATATACTAATGGTCAAAGTTGTGTCTCGAAAAGTGTGAAATGTTGACCGTTGCATTTATTTAAGAACGGAGGAAGTAGGAAGTATTTAGTTTGAGTGATTGAGCCCCTGCAGCCCAGGTCCCAATTCCCCTTACCAGTCTCGCCCCATCTACCAGACCAAGACCTGAAGCCCTGGCAACCCAACTCACCAAGTGAAGCCCTGTCCATCAACCCAGCGAGCAAACCACGGCCCAACCGCGGTCCCCTTCGGCCCTTCTTCAGATTTCTTGCTTAATCTCCGGCCCAGTGTAGTTAAGATTGCTCTAGTTTATTACGGAGTAAAAGAATAGTTGAATTATTGTTGAATACTTCAATACGCAGTAGTTGATTTTTTGGATGGTGCGGTGGTTGTGGTCATTTTATAAACTCTTGACTTTTTTTGGGCAATTTTATTTTCATAATCTCATTAAAAATGTTAACTATATTATAATTTTTTAATTGTGGATTTGTTGATTTAGTTTGTTCATTGTTAAATTGTTATGATGTACGAGTAATTTTTACAATTATACTCATATTATTTCAATTTTTGTCTGTGCAGGTTGTTTGACAAACAATCCCTATGTTACGATATTACACATTAAAACCTAAATGGCCGAGCATTGGTGGTTCTTCTTCGATGATGAAGTTTTTCAAGAATAATTAGCGCAACAAGATTGGAGAAGAATACCTGACTAATCGACTGATGAGTAACATTAACAAAGATGTATTTATTAAAATTGAGAATAGTCATTATGAAGCGATTTCAGAGTATGACGCAAAGACAAAGATTGCCGCCTCTCAATTATTCTCCTTCATTTGACGCATCAATTTTGAATCAAAATTAAGGTATTCTTTAATTAACTTTTTATTTAAATTTTCTTGTTTTGTTTATTGCTATATTTATGATATCTAAGTAGTACTCCCTCCGTCCCTGAATGTTCTTCCGATTGCGGATTACGAAGGTTGACCGACGATAAAGTTAAATGATCCCTGTGAAAACTCGGATTATTTTTAGTAAATAAAATTTACATATTCAGAAACTACATTAAACCCGCTACAAAGCCTGCACAAAAAATATCAATTTTCATAAAGTTTTGATACAAAAAGTAAGAGTTTAAGAGTGATTTAAGTTGACTCTCGAAAAGCGAAATGGAAGTAAATTTAGGGACAGAGGGAGTATAATTTATGTGCTAATGTGCCCCTCCAAATCACGAGTCCTAGTTCCACCATTGCTTTTTGTTCCATACAACCAAAAAATAAAACCCCATTTAATGTAGCATTTAGAATTAGTTGCTTCGTATTTTCCTTTATTGCCCATGTCGTTTTTTACGAATCCCCTCCTACTTGCAGAAAACATTCCCGCCAAAGTGAAAAAGTAAAATTCCGCCAACCTAGATCTTCTTCCACCGAAGAGCAAAAAAACAACGCTGGGACTCTGGGAGCAAGCGGCCTTCTCCGATCATATAATTATCTATGTGTATATGTATAAAAAAGTATGATATGGTGTTATTTCATTAGTTTGTGTGAGGCTGGAGACGTGGTGAGATGGATAGAGAGGGATTTCAAGTGGAATTACTTTTTCTATGTCGTGGTTGTGAGCCAATGATCATCTCATAAAAAACTGAGGAATGGATTATTATTATTATTAATAAAAGAAATGAGATTCTTCAAAAAAAAAAAAGAGATTTCGACTAGGGTTGCCTCCTCCTTCGTGGAATCTCATAAAAATTTCTTTTTCATCTCATAAAAAAGTATGAGGAATGGATTATGAATTAAAAAAGTACAAACTTAAATTAATTATTATTCTGTTAATACATTTAATGTTTTAATCATAAAAAGGATTTATGTAGTTGGACTAATATGTTTAATAAAAATAATAATTGATGTCCTAAAAGGTCATTTAATAAGTTATCAGTTGAATATAAACATCCATATAATTAAACATCACTTTACAAATTGCTAATACTATCAGCTAATTAAAACAGCTAACAAAATATGTTGTCATCAATCAACTAAAACAATTGGTCAGCCACCAACAGCCAACAATTGATTGCCAAACACCCCCATTGTATAGGTTTAAATATGTTTTTAAATTTTGTAAATATGACGCATTTTGTTCTAGGATCTGCAATTTTTTTATCCTAGTAATATGCACTGTTTTGTTTTTAATCCATCTCAAACTCTTGGGGGTGTCTCCAGTTATGATTTTAAATGAGTTTAGAATTCTACTAAAATTTGTGTATCCACAACATAGATTTATATAAATTTTTAAAGACTCTTCTCAAATCTAGCTATCCCCAACCATTCCATGAATTTCTATTACTTTGTATTTGGATGGATTTGGAAGAATTTTGTATACAAGATAACTCCCAAATTATTCCAGTCATAGAACCCTGTCTTTTTTTTAATGCTTATAAGGAAATTTTTTGTACTCTTATAGAAGCCTGTGTTTTTTTATGCTTATGTGCCATTTTTTTGTAAACTTTAAAAGGATTGATCAAAGTTTACAAAAAAAATCGTCAATTGCCCAATTGGTTAATGAAAAAGGACGGAGTTCGTATAATATATACTCCGTACGTATATATATTGTGCTCGTGAGTCTGAATGCTACGTTTTGACAAAGCAAAGTCGTAAAGACACATGAAACAAAAGGAAGAAAAATCGAAGAGATTCCACTTCATTAAGAGGGGCGGCCCTGGATATTCAAAGGCCTAGGGGCGAACAATAAAAAAATGGGCCTAATTTTAAAAAAAATTGTAAAACACTTTTCTACCTAAATAAAAATGCAAAATAATAATATTTAAATACCTTTAGAATAAAGAAAATACTTGAATTCGTTAAATTAAACATAGTCGAATAATGTTTTCAAAATAACCGAATAAAAAATTATTTAATGATAAATAACGCCCCGATACAATACACTTGCTAAGGCCGGTGTCATCAACTATAGCGTCATAATCAAGCTTTTCTAAAACATTATTATGCTCAATACTTAATATAGCTAATCAATTAGTTAAATTTATAAATTTAACTAATTGGACTGCACGTTAGTTCTTCCTTTTTTCAATTTTGGGCCTTTTGCATTCTTGGGCTTCCTGAACTTGTACAAAATTATTAATTTTGGGTTAAAACTCAGCCTACTCAAATATACTATAAAGAAATAATTCTGGGCCTAAAAAATTTTCATTTTTTTTGGGCCTAGGGCACCCGCCCCACCTGCCCCCAGGGCCGCCCCTGTTCATTAATAATGAGATGATGTGATTACAAATGATTATGCATGGTTGAAAGTTAAAACATAGAGGTGTGCAACGTGTCAATAAGTGGATTTGGATCAGTTTCGGATAATTCCATTCCAAATTGGGAAAATGGAAATTAATAATCCAACCTTTTAACGGTCTTCTTTAAATAGTCCGACCTTTTCGTTATTCATGAATAATCCAACCTTTGCACCTCATCTTCATTCATTGGTCCCCGACCGGTTGATGAGCTGCTATTCCGAGTTATTTTCTTATCTCTGCAAACTATTATACCATAAATTCCACCTTTCACAAAGATAATATTTTGCAAAGATAAGAAAATAACTTGGAATAACAGGTCATCAACCGATCAGGGACCAGTGAATGAAGATGAGGTGCAAAGGTTGGATTATTCATGAATAACGAAAAAGTGGGACTATTAAAAGAAGACCGTTGAAAGGTTGGATTATTAGTTTCCATTTTCCCTTCCAAATTCACTTTTACATATTCTTTCTTACTATCGGATCTAACTTGATCCAACTTCAAACATAATACTCGGTATTTTCAAAAGTAAAAGATATTAAACTTTGTTGTGATATCTCTACATCTCTATCTCTATCTCTACAATTATATAAGCATGAATATTGTTAGAGGTATAATGGTCTAGAAAAAAATGTTGGTGTCTCTTTGTGCAATAGCTAATTTCTATCTACAATTATATAAGCATGAATATTGTTAGGGGTATAATGGTCTAGGAAAAAATGTTGGTGTCACTTCGTGCAATAGCTAATTGTACCGAAGCCATATCGAGATGAAACTTTAAGCGCTTAGGGCAAAGAAGCTGATGACCGGGTTAGCTTTGCCATCAAAGCCTATCCTCCTCCAAAATTAATCGCCCGCGGACCGCCTGCTTCTCTTCTTCTCTTCTCTTTAGCCTACCCCCAATTTCTTATGCTCCAATTTCTCTCCACATTGGTCTTCTGTTCTCTTCTTCCGCTGGATGCCTGCTCCAAATCAACTGCCACTGAAAAACTTCTTCTGCTCCCATGGAAGATTGTGTTCTTCTTCCAAGTTAGAATTCTTCGAAATGGTAAAGAAGGGATTCCTTCCGGATGTCATCACATATTACGTTCCCATTGATGGGCCGTGCAAATATCACAATTTGGCTACAAGTTGGATGCAGGGGTACAAATTTTGGGGATATGGTGACATTTTGAAGCAAGCCTGATTTTGCCATTTACAACGTCCTCGTAAATTCACATTTCAAAGATGGCAATTTGAGAAAAGAGTTGGAATTGTTCAAGTATGTCTTGGATTGTGGGCCAGATCTTGATATCGTGACTTACAACACTGTGATTTGTGGCTATTGCTCTATGAGAATGTTGGATGAAGCAGTTCATCTCTTTGCAGAGTTAAAGAAGAGACAGACCGGTCACAACACAATCACATTAACTATATTGATTCAGGTCTTCTGTAAAGGAGGGAAACTGGATGTGGCTGTGTCATTTATTCTCTGAAGTAACAGGAAGAGGTAGAGTCCCCAACGTGGTCACAAATAGCTATTTGATGGATGGGTACTTCAAGTTGCATTCATTCAAAACAGGTTTTGAGCTTCATAAGGAGATGCTCAGTAACAACATTTCCCCAAATATCATAAGCTACACAATTCTGTTCGACGGTCTCTGTGAAAAGGGGATGACGAAAGAGGCTTTATTGGTCTTTTATTCTGCTTCGAGATGTGGGTTTTTGCCCGATGTGATAACCTATGAGTTCTGCTCTGTGGGTTTTGCAAGTTTGGGGTTCTGCTTTGAGATGTGGGTTTATAAGTTTCCTATTATTTGCTTATAATGAAAACTCCCCAGCTTACATGACTTTCAGGTAAGTTTGCTTCACCTTAAAACTGAGTATCATGTCCTAAGTATTGTAGGCTATGCGCGAATAAGGATTTAACCAAATTCAGCAGATATTTGTCATGCACATTTTATCAATGTCTTTCTCCATTTGATTGCCAATCCTTATCATCATATTTAGACAACTTATACCTACATTTTACGCAGCTTTTTCTGCAAAAATCAGAACGTTGACTGCATATTTGTTCTTCCTTGCATAGAAATTATTTTCTTTCATTCTTTAACGGTTAAGGCATTTTTTTTGCATTTCGGGAGATTGTTTTCGGAAAAAACAGGAGCTTATTGCAACAAAGTCTTTTTGCATTTCATAGCAATCTTCTTGCATATTTTAGTTGTTATTCTATATTTCTATTCATATTATTAATAGAGAGTATTTACATTTGCAGCTGCATCATCCTTTTTTCTATACTATCTACTTTGAACAGGAAGACATCATATTTCGAGATTAAGAATATTTGTAGGAGGTTACCAGTAAAGTGGCTTTGCAAAGAGTTTCAAGTTTCACCTCATTATGTTTCATTGGCAGTGTCTGATTTGTTGGAAAAGATCTTCTGGAGGATGTTTGATTCTGGGTTCTATGAGCACTGCGGGACAGCAGGCAAAAGTATAAAATCATAGGCACCTTCATGAGTGTGTACTACAACTCAAAGAAGGGAAAGAAGACGGAGTAGGAAGTGCAAGAGGTTGAACAAGAGAAACCCGAAATGGAGACCCCTGATGTTAATTGATTAATAACCCATGGACTATTGGAGTTTGGTGTCGCTTCTTTGATTTGAGGCCTTTTTTTTTTGTTTCGGGAGTTTATGTATGTTTGGCATTGGTTCTCTTTTTTTTTTTAACTTGTGTGTGTGAGTGAGATGGGTGGCTTTAGAGGTCAGAATGCCATATTGGACTAATTAATGTTTATAAAATTTGCAACATTTTTTGTGTGTTCACTTCATAAAGTTCAGAGTTTTACCAAAATCGGTTGAATTAGCTAATTCTACTGAAACTTATGAAGTCAGACTGAAGTGAATGGATTGGTTGATTATGCTAAATTTGGAAAAATATAATTAAAATACAGAGTACAGAGTATATTTTATTAATAAAATATAGAAAAAATTAAATGAAAACGGGTTAAAATGAGTATAGCAAAACTAAGTTCTAGCAAATGCCAAAAATGAGACCAAACGGCTAATCACATAGCCGTTTCCTAGGATTAAATTATTAAAATGTCCCTGCTGTACTAATGAATACTCCGTACGTTGTAAATCATATAACCATTTCCAAAGTTCGCTGCAATCATTTCCAAGATTGATTTTTATATATCTTTTTAATTACGATTATTCGGTAATGCTTACTTTAAGTTGACTACTTACAGTTACACGTTCAATTACTTACAATTACTTGTCCAACCAGTTAGAATTATCCGACGCCAGTTACAATTATCAGATCCAACCAGTTACCTGACCAGTTACAATTATCTGACCAGTTACAGTTATTCAACCCGATCAATTACAATTACACGATCCGACCAGTTACAATTATCCAACCCGACCAGTTACAGTTACCCGATCAGTCTAGTTACAGTTACCCGATCATTCTAATTTCAGTTACCCGACCTGATAGTGACCAACAAACCTACAGTGACAAACCTATAGTGACTAATTGTTCAACTTCAACAACTTCCGTGACAAAAGCTCAGTGACCAAATGGGATACAATTACAGTTACAAACATTCATCACACAAATTTTAAATCGCCAAAACCCCATTGTCTACCTGCCACCGCCACAGTTATTCTCCTAAGTCGCTCCGGCCAGTCGCCGCCGCTGCACCGGCCAGTCACTGCCGCTGATAGTGACTTCAGTGACAGCCAAGCACATCCATTCTCCGCTCAGTGACACAGACCGGTCCAGTGACTTCCACCCCCACTTCTGGTGACTCCCGCTGTTGCCGAGTAACCCAGTGGCCGCCGCCGACAACCAACCAACCCCGATTCAATTGTCCGTCCCCTCCCTAACCCCAGCAACCTCCCCAGCCCGCATCCACCTCCTTAGCCCTTTGTCATGTCCCATCTTCCGCCCTAACTCCCCGTCCCCAGGCCCTTCCCATGTTCCCAAGACCATGTCTCCCCCACTCAGATCTGAAACTTAGTTGACGCAGTTGAAGAAGTTTAATGTCGCCGCCCCCATCGAAGTATACTATCGCCATCGTAGAACCAGATCCGGAGATCATCGAAGAGGTCTCTCTCTGCCGCCGCTGAATACAGAGGTCTGTCGCCGAAGAAGAAGGTCGAAGAAGGGTAGCGATTGCAGGCGAGAGGTTGGATATGGGGGGAGAGATTCTGTACGGGTGGGAGAGAGGAGAAGAGAAAGAGGAGGGAAGAAGCGCCTGCGGTGAAGGCGGCGGTGGTAGTAGCATAGGATGGAATGGCAGTGGCGTTAGTCGAGATGCACGGCGGCAGCTGAAGAAGATTACGGAACTTAGGGTTCCTGTAGTTTCAATATTCAAAGCTTCTGTCTTGTTGGAGACGAGATGCAGAGGACTATTTTACTTGTTCAAACATAGAGGGGTATTTTAGACAAATAGTATGAGTTTTAGTTGTATTTCTGTCCACACGAGATTTAGCTTTATTTTTGTCTTTTCAAAGGCTGGAACTCTTATTTTAGCCATTCTTTCAAAAGTAATTACAACCTTATTTTTTTATTTTATAATTCAACGCGTTGAACATAAAACTGCGTATTTGATGAAAAAATTGACCGATAAACTTGATTAGCGGAAAACATGATAAAAATGAGTTTTAAAAGATATAAGGCCTTTAAAGGTGATAAATTATTTTTTATTTTTATATATTCAATATTGGACTCATATGGAAGGTAATAAAAAGTTATAAGATTTGATGTATTTTTTGTAACCATCAGATTACAAATGAAAAAGTTATTGAACTTTTAAAAAATAGGAGATTTTTTATTGGTGGGGACCAAGAAAATTACTAATCACCTTTTTGTCTTGCGTTGCATAGTACCATCTTCTGGCGTAAGCCCTTAATTACAACGGAATTTTTGGAAATATTTTTAACCCAACCCTATTATGAGAAATACTTTTGGGAAAATGTGCAATTAGGCCCATGTACTAACCAAAAAAGGTCAAATAAGCCCTTATTTAGGAGACTCTGTCCGGCCGTCGTCATTTGGGTGGTTCCCGGTGGAATTTTTTGATGAAATTTTTTGAGCATCTTATTCATCAAGTCTAGTTTAGTCATACCAAATTTCAGCTAAAACTTCAATCGGGAAGGCATTCAAATGAATTCTTGAAGATAACTGCGCTTCTAACTGCGCAGTTATTTTCAAGAATTCATTTGAATGTCTTCCCGATTGAAGTTTTAGTTGAAATTTGGTATGAGAAAACTAGACTTATTGAATAAGATGCTCAAACAGTTTCATCAAAAAATTCCAACTGGAACCACCCCAAATGGCGACGGCCGGACAGAGCCTCCTAAATAAGGGCTTATTTGACCTTTTTTTGTTAGTACATGGGTCTATTTGCACTTTTTCCCAATACTTTTTTATTTAGCATTATTTTAGGAAAAAACTCATATTAAAGTTCTTTTTAATTTATTTTGTAATTCTTTATATTAAAGAAACAAAAAACTATGTATTCAAATAATGTATTGATATTACTCATATTCACTCCAACCTAAATCGAGGAATTAATGTTCCTACAATGGCATTGGGCATTACCACTTTAATGTGAAAAAATAAAAATATTTTCTGAAGAATATAAATTTATCAAGTTTCACATAAATATATCAATTAAAATAATGAATCAAAATTACCATCTTTGATTAAAAAAATAAAAATGACTAAATCAAGATAGTAAATACTTTGTAATTCAATAAAAATATTTTTAAAGGCATTAGGGGTAGAATGGATAGTATATCATAAAAAATTGTCCTTATTAAATAGGAGTAAAAGATGTTAAAATTAGAAAGTGGAAACACATAATCGAAGATATTTAAGGGGATGAAATACAACAGTACTTCGTAATATTTTAGAACTTTATATTAAAATAAATCTGAAAGTAAAACAAATAAAAATTAGGAGATAGTGGGATAGGTATTCATTTGAAATGTCCAACAAATTGAAAATAAAATGAACAGAAATAGGTGGAGATGCGGGGGATCGAACCCCGTGCCTCTCGCATGCAAAGCGAGCGCTCTACCATTTGAGCTACATCCCCGTGTTGTTATATTCTCCATTTTTAAAAATATATTACCAAGCATACACTATCACGGGAGAAATAATTGCGCAAATAAAACAAATATCAGAGCCAGGTTTCGATCCTGGGACCTGTGGGTTATGGGCCCACCACGCTTCCGCTGCGCCACTCTGATTGTTGTGAACATTGTTGTACTTAGTTCTATATATTTGTTGTTGTTGTGCGAGTTTCAAACAACTCAACGGAGATTGACATAAACTCATGAAGGCATGCAACACCTTCTCCTTTGTAATTGAAATTTTTGGATGTTTGCCCAACTGTGAGTGCGTGCATTTCTGCATCACTGTTTCCTTTTTTATGTTTGGGGGTCTGAGTCTGCTTCATACTAAGGCCCCAGCTTGGTTTTGACAACAAAAACCTTCTCTCAACCGGGTTGGTAGATCTAGGATGTATAGTTTTCATTGGGTGCTAATAAAATTTACATTCCATCCAAAAAAAAAATGAAGGCATGAACCAATCAATTCTAAATTCCTGATAGAGCGAAACCAGAGTATTTTGATTATAGGAATTACTCCCTTTGTCCCCTTATATTGGCTCCGTTTGTTTATTGGAGGTTTCGCACCAATCCACTGCTTTTTGCAGCGTTTCACTTTGTAAAAATTTGGCGGATTGGCCAAATCCGCTGATATCCAAACAGGGGCATTGTACCGTTTTACCTTTTTGGGAAGTCCCACTAAAATTGTCTCATATCATATTTGGTAAAGTTTGTGTGGTTCAAAACCATTCTTACTTTATCAATTAATATCAATCACACAAACCCACTTTTCTTAAGAATCGTATCACCCTCTTCCGTCCCAATATAAAAGGGACGGAGGTAGTATTTGCTTATAGAATGAAAATTTCCCGAATTGAAACGTTTTTCAAATCTTCAATTCTATGCTTTGAATCCTCATGTGGTTCATTTACTAAGAGAGTGTTTGCAATAGTTTAACAAAAAAACGTTTCTCGTTTTTTAACTTAAAAAAATTAAATTAGTGTTTTCAAGTGACAACTTCTACTTTAAAAAAGTGTTTCTCGACTTTGGTGTGAAAATTGCTTTTTACTTTTTTTACTACACAAAAACACTTACTCCGTATTTTACAAAACACTACATACTTTTGCATTTCAAAATCATTTATTTCTCAAACACTATCAGCTTCTACTACTAATCACTTTTTCCAAAATCACTTCAAAAAATATATTTTTAAAGCAAAAGTATTTGCAAAACACTTCCTAACTCATCCCCATTATGATTTTTAAGGAGCGTATTGGATATGGATTGTGGTGAATTTTTTAATTCACGTAATTTTAAAAAGTCCATGACTTTTAAATTATATACTTTTTTATGAATGAATTCTATTGATTTTTAAATCCGGATCGCCGTTGTCGAACGTCGAAGCTTTCACCCAGATCACCGCTACCGTCTACCGATCCGCCGTCTGCCTCCACAGTCATCAGACTGATCTGTCACCAATGAAATGACTTTTATTATGCCAGAGAAATATGGACAATTAATTAAATTAGGGGGTACAAATGTAATGTTTAATTCTAATTAAGATCAAACATATGATCATATATTTGGTAAGAATGCTATGTTTTAGTCCTACCGTGAGTGATTTGTGCGTTTTGAAAAGGAAAGTCTTCTTCTGGTTCAGACTATCACTTTACTAGGCTGGAGGTTTTTGGGCCTGTTTCTTTTTGGACTGATTTTTCGGCCTTTTATTATTTAGTTTCTATTGTTTCTTTCTGATTGTATTGGGTCAGGTCTTGCCCCCTCAGTCCATCTCATTTGCTTAATTCGTTGTTTTTTGGGAAGGTGTGCCTTTTCTGAAGAGGTCTTGGTATAGTATCCCTCCTCTTCTCTAATATCCCTCATCTTAATAAAATCCTAATAAATGTTCCCCGGCATTTACCTCACTGATTTTGGTGGTTTACCTTTCGGGTTAAAAAAAAAACAATTAGACGAATAAATGAAACAAATGAAGTTCATCCAGCAACACAGGGTTCTATAAGAGTAAATGAGCATAAGCATGCAAATATATTTTTAATAATAGGAAAATTCAAAGTTTCGAGAATGCTCAACAAACTCAATATCTTTATGATCAATTGTTATGTTACACAACTCAATGAGCAAAAACACTAAATGTTACACAAGTGTTACACTCATTGCTTCATGTGGTACGAGCATAGGTGCAATTGAGTTTTTCTTCTTAATAATTCTTTCTTTCATTATTAGCTTCTTAGATGTTGTTTACTTATTTAAGGTTAAATTTTTATTAATTTGAAATAAAATTTTATGTGTCAGCGGTTTAATGATGAAACACAGTAATAGTTTATGGTTAACTGACAACATACCATAATTGCACCGATATATAACTATCGATTCTTTTATCGGTTCTTCTATAAACTTCTAAAACCGAATCAATATTGGATTAACGGTTCTTTAAATGGTTTCTGATTTTCTTTCAAGAACTGAACCGACGATCTCACTTCTATTTGTTTTTCGTAAGATGATATAAAAAAATCATTTTTTAATTTTATCTTGTGTATTAGTGTTGATGTAGAATCTCCTTGTTCAACCATAATTATCGTAGAATGATAAAACATCAAAAATTAATTTTCAAATCTTGCGCATTGAGACCGTTTTGGTACCCACCTCCCGATTCGTCTGGTACTACTCCAGGACCTGTTGGATGGTTTGTGATCTCGGTTATTCTGCAACCAGATCTATGTGTACTTGTAACGAGTATTTTTTTTACTTGTAACGAGTATAAGACAACAGAAAAGTCCACAGAAATCTTTGGTGAGGAGAAAAGACTCTAGAGAATTAATGTAGTAAAAATATGTTAAATTAAAATGTCCACAAGAATTCATGGTTTTAGAAGTCAATAAGAATGAACGAAAGTTTGAATACGCCTAGACTTTTATAGACTTTTAAAATCCATGGACTTTTAAAATTTTGCCACCAAATCCTAATGCAATACACCCCTCCTTATACAAAAATGACAATATTATTTAAACAGTAATTAAATAAAGTGATTTGTGAATATTTTGTAAAAAAATTTTGATGAGTATGTAATATGATGGAGTCATTGATGATAACTCTGGTATGCCCGGCAAACCGCTCACAAAAATGGGAGCTTAACTCTGGTTTGCCCGGCAGACCGCTCACAAAAATGGGAGCGTTTGGATAATATATATATATATATATATATATATATATATATATATATATATATATATATATATATATATATATATATATTATATAGGATTTGGTTCAAATAAGAACACGATCTTATGAGAGAAATGAGAACGAATCTGGACCGTTAGATTTGCTTCAAGTGAAATTCAGTGTGCATTAGATGAAACTGTAATGTGCATTAGGTGAAATTGAAATGTGCATCACAAAGGGTACGATAGAGTGACATTATGTGCAGTTGAATCGTGCATTACGTGAAATTGAAATGTACACTAGGTGAAGCTGAAATGTGCAGAATAAAAAGTACGATGTGATGTTATTTTTGTACTTTTTTTTCGCACATATCCGTTTCATCTAATGCACACTTGAGTTTAAATTTTTATTTTACACATTTCAATATCATTAAATGACATTCCAGTTTCACCAAATGCACAATTTGGTTCCACATAATACAATCCAACGGTTCAGATTCGTTCTCATTTTTCTCCTAAGATCTGTTCTTACCGGAACCGCTCCCTATATATATATATATATATATATATATATATATATATATATATATATATATATATATATATATATATTATGTATTCATCTATCGGCTTGTCCCTGACCCACAATAACATATGGGCGGGCATGGATTAGGATTTAGGCCCGTTTGGGCCGATAAGCCCGGCTCTCTACATTTAGTATGTATATATATACTGATATATTTTTATGTATATTTTATGATTCATTATGTTTAAAATTTAAGTTTTTAGTACTTAACAACTCCGCCAAAAGGTTGCGAAAACTTTAAGGGCTACAGTCGGTCCCAAGAATCATATGCGGCGAATTGCTGGACGAATATAATCTTTTGACTTTCTCTTTTCCTATTGGCAAGAGTCTTCGATGATGACGGCATTTTTTGGGCAGTAATGAGTCAAAGGTTTTCTTATGTTGTTGCTCTTTTTCTATTTCTACCTTCTAGGGTTTTGGTTTTTTTGTCCGGCATCTTCTATAGCCAAGAGTTACGTCCGTTTCAAGTGAATGTGAGTTTTGTTCTTCTCATAACAATGCCTAGAGGTTGAGTCTTCCTCATCCGTGTAACCGATTGAGTGGTTCATTATTCATGGTTGGCAAGACAACTTCAACCTAGTTCTTCTGAAGCTTTAACTACTTGCCCCTCCTTAATTAACCAATGACTCACTCTAAGAAAAAGATAGCGATGAACTGGATCTTCTTTTTGGTGGCTAGCTGGTCAGATCGGTGACTTTGATAATTTTTGCCCAATTGATTTTCCTTTGCTGGTTGCTGGTCATATAAATCCTCTCTTTCCGGTGGATGGTGAAGCTAGATATTTTAGTTGTAATTTTTTATTCTCTCTTTAGAGTAACAAAAAGAGCAGCAAAGCTGCTAGACTAGATTATGTTATTGCAAAGTTAGCGATCTGGAATGATTCATTGGATCTTTTCTGCTCTATATCTCATCCTATTGTAGCCTTAGATTATTCATTCGCTCGTATCTTTGCTATATTTAATGAATAAATTAGTTATTTGATTTAAAAAAACGCCAATCAATATGATACCTATTTATATACTTAAAGATAATAAATTGTACTTAAATTTTAAGTTTTAGTTATAGTTTTTCATGATTATTTTGTGTAAATATTTTATGCGTATGTGGTGAGAGGCCCCATAAACATTATCAACATATTAACATTTTTAAAAGTATTGTAATATTATTTTGAAACGGTTATAAATGGTTTTATATGGTATAATTTAGATAAATTTAAAGTTATCCCGGGCTGGGGCGGTCCGGTTGACTACCCGCCCCGCTCTTACCGGTGGATATGAACCAATGGCAGATCCCTTTTGTTCAAAGGGGTTCATGTGAACACCCAAAAAATGAGAATAAAATGTTAAAATATACACATAGAATTGATGTAGTAATTTATGTAGTGTAATTTTTTTTAGATAATATCTCTTACTTGTAATCTATTTTACCATTTTTTTGTTGTTGAAAAAGTAACACATGTTCAATGGTTGGATCGATCAATATTATTGTTCAACAGTTTAGTGATAAATCAATTCTGAACACCCAACGTTTGATCGTAAGATCCGCCACTAATATGAACATGTGATTAGGCTTACTTATTGCAGGCTAGGCTAGACCCATCCACACTAATGGGCAAACACTATAATTTTGAAAAAGTCCGGCGCGAGCGCGTTATTGTGCAGGTCTAGTCAGGGGCGGCCCTAGGGGGCGGGGGACTCAGGCCCAAAAAAATGAAAAACATTTAGGCTCATGTTTAGTTCTTTATAATATGTGTGATTAGGTTGATTTTTAGTCTTAAACTAATAATTTTCCAGGAAGAACTTTTTGAGGTGTTTCCATGTGGCTTTACTCCGTATGAGCTTCGAATTAATCATATTTCAAATTTTGAAATAATTGGCATATTTTTGCTGCGATTGTAGTTATAATCGCCGCAAAAGAGTATTTTTTTTTTTACTAAAAAAATATTAAATACTTATTTGTTGTGATTCTTAGGTAACCCGCAGCAAATGCACTAATCGCTAAATATTGTTAAAATTTTCTGTCTAGAATTCACATTTTTTATTGTGGCTTATGACAATAATCACAACAATAAATAGAAAAAGTAAAAAATAATGAAATTACTTTTCATTGCAGTTCTTATAGAAACCACATTAAATAAGGAGCAACAATTGATAAAAATTCTAGTAGTGTAACAAGTTCGACACGCAATATCTTTGTACACGATAAACTTGATATTATGCAAGTATAATTGCCAGTGCCTACTACTCCGTAATATTTAAACCGATATCGATAATTAAAACTTACATACCATTGTATTTGAAATATCACTAAAAATATAAACTTCTGTTAAATTAAAAACTAAATACGAATATGGGAACAAAACAATACTCAAAGTAAGACAATAAGCATGCTAAGAAAGTGACAAGTGTATCAAACTCTATTGAATAACACAATTAAAATTGTAAACTATTTTGGAGTAGGAGAAGACCAAGTATGAGTTGATTTAGAAGGATGACATGTACGCGGGCAAAGCGAAGTAGAAGCACAACCATCAATTTGAGGAGAGATCCAAAAAGAAAGAATAAATTGTCCATCATGTGTGTGGCCGGCCTCTTCACCATCTTCTTTTCTCACCTTTTGTTTGGAGAAAAAAATAAAGATGAGTTCTCCTTCCCCTTCACGCACATACCAAATAGCTATGTATCCTTGGTTTGCACTTGGCCACCAAATCGCATTCATCCGCCTGGCAAACAAAATAGCCACCAAAGGTCACAAAATCTGGTTCTTCACACCTAAAAGCTCACAAGTCATGATTGAGCATTTCAACCATCACCCACATCTCATTGTCTTCACTCCGGTTGCTGTCCCGCACGTTCCAGGACTCCCTCCGGGAGCGGAGACCACCGCAGACGTCCCCTTCTCTACATCTCATCTCATCATGGAAGCCATGGATATGACACAAGAAAAGATTGAGAATGATCTCTTGAATCTCAAAGTCGATATTGTGTTATTTGATTTTACCCACTGGATACCCAAAATGGCCCGTAGAAACGGCATGCGGTCCGTGTTCTACAGCACCATTAGTCCTGTGATGCATGGCTATGCTATTTCCCCTGAACGCATAGTTCATGGGAGAGAATTAACCGAGACTGGCATGATGAAAGCTCCGGTTAGTTTTCCAGATCAATCCATTACGCTACATGCCCACGAGGCACGTGGCTTCACAGCGAGAACCACCATGAAGTTCGGCGGCGATATCACTTTCTTCGATCGGATCTTGACCGGTGTAACTGATTGTGATGCTATAGCGTACAGTACATGCCGTGAGCTTGAAGGGACATTCTGTGACTACATAGAATCCCAGTTCAAAAAACCAATCTTGCTCGCTGGTCCGGTCCTGCCGGTGTCCCCAAACGCCACCTTAGAGGAAAAATGGTCGGACTGGCTTGGGCAATTCAAGAAAGGCTCCGTTATATATTGTGCATTCGGGAGCGAATGCATTCTGGAGAAGGATCAATTCGAGGAACTGCTATGGGGCCTTGAGCTTACCAGAATGCCGTTCTTTTGTGCACTTAAAACGCCATTCGGTGCAGACTCAATTGAAGACGCCATTCCAAATGAACTAAAAACAAAACTACAAGGAAGAGGGATAATATGGGGGAGATGGGTTGAACAACAACTATTTCTTCAGCACCCTTCAGTGGGATGCTTCGTGACTCACTGTGGGTGGGCATCGCTGTCAGAAGCACTGGTGAATGAGTGTCAACTTGTGTTATTACCGCATGTAGGAGATCAAATCATCAATGCTAGGATTATGAGTTTGAGTCTGAGAGTTGGGGTGGAGGTGGAGAAAGGGGAAGAGGACGGGCTATTCACGAGAGAGGGTGTGTGCAAGGCGGTGAGAAGTGTGATAGATGAGGAGAGTATTACAGGAAGAGAAACTAGAGCTAACCATGACAAGTTGAGGGAGTTACTGTTGAACAAAGGTCTTGAGTCAAAATACATTGACCTTTTCAATGAGAAACTGTATGCTCTCTTTGCTTGATCATTGTTTTATTTTGTTGGGTTAATTAGGTAGCTAGTTGAGTTTGGTACTATGGTTTTTCTTTTGTCTTATTATGGTGTTATATTTATTTGTGAACAACTTTTTATGTATTTCTTTTTATAATCTTTATATTATACAAATCTTATACATAAAAGCAATATAAATTTTACTATTTATTGCATAGTTCTCCTGCCAAAAAAGGGCTTTTGAGGCGTTTAAATAGAGGCGCACTTTAAAATAATGCCAACTTTGAATTTAAGTTCTCATATTAGAAGTGTTGATACAAAGCGCCCTAATGTATTTCTAATTTTGGATCACTTTTTATTTTCATGTGAGTATTAAATAAAAAAGATCGATCTAAATCCTTCTGTCACCCAATTCTATCTTCTTTGGTTTAGGGTACTCTTTTTTCCGCCTCGTGAAGAACCTCGCCCAAAACTTCTTTTCCCAGCGCCGATCTTCTCTCATTGACGTTGTGATTGAAATTCTCTCTGCCAAGGTTCTTCATCTGCGAAATTGTTAATTGATTGCATGCTTTCTCAGATTGAGACAACCTAGATACTTGTTAGAGATATTGTATGTGTGTTATGCTTGTGAAGCGGTATGATCCCTCTACATAGAGCCGGTTGCTCTAGCTGAAGGATTTCGATCTTCATATATTGGTATTTGTTCCATTTATATGTGATCAAAACATCTACAATACTTTTTATTATATATTGAAATTAACACACTCATTTCATAGGATTTCGAACTAGGGTTTATGTTATTTTAAATTTGTATTCGAATTTGAGACTGTTGGTACTTAGTTTGCCTTTTTATGTATGTTATCGGTACGTTGTTCATAATTTGATTATAAATAGGTAGTTAAAATGTATTACTTCGTCTAGAATTTTAGAAGCAATGCACCGTTCACACAACTCCCAAATCTCAGTTGAATGCTAAGTTCCTGCATAGCCACAAACTTGAATAACCAATTTGTAATTCATGGGAGGTCATTAGAAAGAGATTAAAGCAGTAGTAAACTAGTTGCTACACAAAATTCAAACGGACTTGCATTGCCTTTATTTTGTTGTGAAAGAATTACTACAATCCTAACAACATAAAATATGTGTTGAAGTTTAAAAAGTAGGGAAAATGGAAACGTTAACAACTATAGAAATTAATCCATAATGCAACCACTCAGAAATCACCCTATAACAAGTAAGCTTCTCGATAAGTATTCATGTTTACGAATACTCTACTTGATAGCAATGAGTCATTTTTGTCTGGTACTTTACATTTCTTGGAAGGAAAATAAAATTCAAATAGATTGAGATGCAGATCAATAGGCAGAAAGAGCAGAAGACCGGGCTTACACCGAGACTGTAGTGCGAATTAGCTGATGTTAGTTCTATGTATTTCAGGTTATGTAGGATTTGATGACGTATATATTCAAGATTCTACGTTGAATTCTAAAATGGTTTACTTGTATTCAAAAACGCGCTCCAGCAATCAAGGATGACAATGTTGTGAAAAAGAAGGTTGCATTTACTTTTTCAGCCCCTATATCAACATACCATTTTTCTGACTAGCCCTTATAATACCATATTTTCTTTCCATTTCAAGTAAATATTAATTAAATAAATTTCAGGTGGCAATGTGGAATCAACACTAGCTCCTTCCAACCAAGTCAAAAGTAGTGCAAAAAATGAGAAAGACAGTGAACCACATTCTGAAGGCACTGGTTCAGATGAGGAGGAGGATGCTCGTGTGAAGAAGGCTCCCCTTAGTGCATATGCTCCTATAGAAGTAGATGAAACTAGTAAATAAGAAGATGAAGAAAGTTATGATGAAAGTGTATGATCTTTTTATGATAAATGTATGTGGTTAAAATATTGGTGTTAACGAAAGAGAAGAGTGAATTGTATTATGGAACTAGGCCCTGTACTTCTTAAAAGGGTGTGGCTTTGAATCCCTCTCATTTTGGAAAGTTTAATTATATTTCCAACAACTATGGAAGAGCACATGAAACTCGTCATAATTGGCAACCATACTTTTATTAGAGATGATGTGTTTTTAAGTTTGAAACCACGTTTGATAAATTTAGAGATTTATCTACATTTTCGTTAAGCTTTTTGATGTATTGGTCTGTTTAGTACATCTTTGTCTCTTTGATAGGGATAAGTTCTTAACTTCTATCTTTTATACTACCTCTGTCCCACTAAAATTGGGACAAAGGAGAGTGGTGCAGTTTTTGAGAAAAGTATAGTTATGTGTTTAATAATGAATTGATAAAGTAGGAATAAAGTAAAAATGAATTAGGGCCACACAAATATTACCAAATATGGTATGATACAATTTTAGTAAGACGCATGGAAAGGGAAAAATGAGTTGTTGATACAGGTGCTGCCGTATGTCCGGGGTTACCTTTGAACGTGAAGAACCCCCGGTAGCTACCTGTAACAAGGCGGTAACCGAGGGAGTTGACCAAACTGGAAATGATGAGTTTATCTCTGATCCACCGATTACAGATGCTACACTTACCCGAAATTTGTCCAGTGATGAAATCATTTCTGAGGACACAAACACAAACATTTTTTCTCATTTTGTTTCAGGTCCTGATCCTACTCCTATTGATGACGAACACCACGAAGGATTTACGCAAGTTAAAAACAAAAGAAACAAAAGCACGGGCTCGCGAATGCATTCTCATGAAGAGGCAGAAGATGCACAACTATTCTACCACGTGGGATATAGCTCTCACCCGATGATCACCAGAAGTAACTAAAAAAACTGCAAAACGAGACAAATTTCTTTATCTACCCGGTTGATAAAAGATTTGAATCCCCACATCAATTGGCGTTGGCTCTCAAGAGATTTCAAATTTCACATCCGGAAGCAACATGCTACCAGAACTATCTGCAAAGGTCTATAAAGCTCCACAATAAGTTTAATAGAGCCATTTATGGGTCACTTGGAATTCCTAGTAATAATTTCAACTGTTGATGTAAAAAAAAAGGAAAGATGAGACAATTATAGTGGGACGGAGGGAGTATTATTTAATTTTTAGTTGTATATTTGGCACGATAATTTTTAAGAGTTTTTTAAAAATAGGGAAAACTGTCAAATAGGTCAACCTACTACGGGGGAAAAGTCAATTGAGTCCATGTACTAAAATTTTGGTCAATTGGGTCCACATTGTTTTAAATAATGGTCAAATAAGCTTTTTAGGCGGTATCGAGCCGGTTAGCCTGTTACCCAGTGATGTGGCTTCTTACGTGGTATAGTTTTAGTAAAATGGGAAAAAACATTAAAGCCTTTGTCCTCGTCAGCCAACGACTCTCATCTCCATTCGCGTATTATTTGAGAAAGAACTCTAGGCTATTTATTTCTTATCTTTTGTTCTCTGCTATCCAGTTATCTCGATCGAAAATGGCAGCTTCATCCTCATCGACTTCGACTGCGAGAAAAGGACGTAACTTCACCCTTGATTACGACCCGCCGTTGTTTTGCTTCTGTGGACTGAAAGCTCCCCTTTGTGTTTAGCGACAGAGTGGGAGTAATTTCTATGGGTGTCAAAACTGGAAGGTAACCGTTAAATTTGATTGATTTGGGTGTGTAAGATGCAAGTGTAGTTATGATAAAATTGGTTAACATTGAACAGGTTCATGGGTGTGATTTTTTTTGCCTCGGCGGATGCTATGGAAATGAGGGGGGTTCCTAACGTTGCAGGGATGAATGAAAACATGGATGATTTGAAACTCATGGTATCTAGAGTTGGTGAATAATTAACTGCTATACAAGGCCAAGTCAATGGTGTGAGAACGGTAGTTCAAGCAGAAACGAAGGATTCCAAGATGTTTAGGAACTTGTTTGGAATTGGTTTGGTTGTAGTAATTGGTTTACTGGGAATATTTTATTGTAACCTAAGTAGTTTGTAGTCAAAAGAGTAGGTGGTTTGTGTATTGGATGTTAGTACAACCATTGTATAATTAAGGTAGAGTAATAACTCTTTGGAGATGTAATCAAATGGTTCACATGTCTTTTATTATGTGCAGTATCTATGCTAGTAATCAATGGAGATGTATAATAAAGCTGATTTATGGTTATTGAAAATAATATATCAATGGTACAATTAATTGTGCTGAAAATATATAACAGTCAAGGAAATAAAGTTGAACAAAGATGTACAATGGACATGTATAATAGAGCTACCATTTAGTGTATCAATGGACATGTATAATAAAGGTGTCGTTCAAGATGAATGGATCATAGTAATATATCATCATAGTGTAGTTTGTGTATAATTAAGTGTGCTGAAAAGAATAACACAAGCTGAACAAAGAGCTAAATGCAGAAAAGAATAACTTGTGCACAAGACAAATAACAACACAAGCTGAACACTTTTAATAATAACCACATTACATCCACACAGATTGTATTACATAAATAAACCAATAAAGCATCCAAACAAAATACATCATGTCAATGAATAAAGCCAACTGTAAAGGCCCCCCAAGTTTGAATCTCCCTTACATCCGAAATACAACAAAAAAGAAAAAAGGCAACTTTAAAGGCCACAACAACCCTCTTTAAAGGACACAAAAAGGACAACAACACATGGGCTACACATATCCATCAATCATGACACTGGAAGGGCACAATATGTTGCAAGTGTATGGTGTATAGTATTTCACATTTAATGTAATAAAATTCAATTAGTATAAAGTTATACATGTGAAGTTATAAAGTTATAGTTAGTATGTCCATAATACAATTATACAATAATATAGACAGTACACAGTATTATATGTGTATACAACTATGTAGCTAAGAAATACCATTTGTTGATATAATACAGATTTGGTATAAGAAAACTATGTGATATTATGGAGTTATACAATATTTCACATTGTTAATACATCAATTAACATTTCCCATTTCCCATTTCATATAATACATAATATTAAGAAATACCTTTTGTTGATCACTAATTAGAGACCATAAGTGTGGGCTAGTAATATGTAAGTCAGTCTTCAATAGGTCTAAAAGACATGTCCATGAGGAGTTGTTCTCAATCTCATCAACAGCCAAAGCTATGAGGTACATCTGATTGTTCCCACCCTCCCAACTGCAGTTAACATCTCACCTTTGAGTTTTCCTTTCAAGAAGCAACCGTCCAACCCTATTAGCTTCCTACAACCTTCTAGAAAACCATGTTTGACTAGCCCAAAACACATGTAAATGCGTTGAAGAACAGAGGGAACTTCTGGGATAACTCTGACTGTGTGAATCAACACAGTTGGATCTGGAATGGACCTCAAACATTCCTCTACATAATTCCTTAGTTTCTTGAACTGATCTTTAAAGTCTCTTTATGTTTTCTTCTGTATGTCCCTCAAAGCCCTTGTGGCCATACTAGTACATACATTAAATTTCAGCTCACTCTTAATAAGTGCCTTCAACTTTACTGCACCCATGCTTGGGTTTTCAATTACATTCTCTTCATATGTCTCTGCTATCCATTTCTTACTAACTATTCTTAGCTTAAACCTCAAATTGCATAAATGTTCAATTTCAAGGACCTTGACTTGGAAGCACTTCATCCTAGGTTCCCAACTGGCAGTACACTTATGCGGGCATGTTGGGGCATAATCATATTCAACACTGTATACATCCTCATCAATGTCATGTTTATCATTGCTACCCCCAAGGTCTTCCATATGAGGATCATCTTCTTCAATTTACAGATCATCTTCTTCAATGCCTTTATCCCTTGAGTCTGACCCACCATGCACATCATTGTCCCTCTCATCCACTTATGTGTCTTCATCAGATGTCAACCCCTAACCCTGACCCTCTGTTGTGAAACTATCCCTTTCAGAATTACCATTTCCGTGCCCATCTTCATGTAACTCCAGGGAGTTGGGGGAAGGGGCTGGGGGAGCCTGGGGTAATCAGGGCTGAAACTCACTCCATTGAGTTTCAAACCCTAATGTGCCTAGCGGGTTTCGAAGTCGAGACCTCCAACTAGGCACGATAACCTCACAACCAGCTGAGCTGGAATGCTTGGTTAACCTTATTGATGGATAGTGTATCCGGGGGGTAGCTTACCTGAAGGGTTATTACGAGAAATAACTTAGAGAGAAGTCAGAGCAAACAAGTAAGAGAGAGAGAATCAAATGTATTAAATGAGCTCGAGATGTTGGGATCCATTACAAGGGGAATAAGGGATGCTATTTATAGCAGCCATAAATGTTACGCGTATACACGTGTCAACCATCTGACGGCTGAGGGTCATCTCAATCAGGGTGGCACCGGCAATTGCATGTGCACCGCATTAAATGCGGTGGTAGGACGTGATGCTGCATTGAATGCGGTGGTTGCTTGTCTCCAGAGGAGAAAGCTTCGTGAGGCGGTGACACCTCGGCCCAAAGCTTATGGCCGAAGGCTACTGTTTCATGGCCGAAGGCTCCCTGAGGCCGAAAGCTACTACTTTTCTGTCATTTTCTCCCAGTAGCTTCTCATGCATAAAATTAGGAGTATCCTGGAATATTGAGCCCTCGGCCATAGTGCCGAGGGCATCCCTGTACGCATTACAAGTTCCTTTAAGCTTGGGCCACTGTGTTTGGGCTTCATGTGCTTATTGGGCTCGTTGGGCCTGTTTAGGAGAAGTAGGAGTCTGTGGGCCGGGGGTCCCTGTGCCATATACTCCATCACTTATCAGTATGCATTTGTGCCTTAGTTTGTTATACATTGGTTTGCATTTGTTGTTCCGCTGTCAAATCTTGACTTTGTACTTGATAAGGTGTGAAAACACCTTATTTGTTATCCAAATTCTGAGTCGTTGCGTGACAATTTTGCAGCATTCTAGCATGTTTTTCGTGTGGTTTTGGTTTGTTTTCGATTGCAGGACTAGAATAAAAGCTCCACTTG